AGTCCAAAATAATTTAAAAGGTCAAAAAATTACACAAAAAGTAAAAAAATTATTACTATTCAAAAAAAATATTTTATATATTTTTATAATACAAAAGGGCACTTAGATACTGTCAGCCGTACTTGTGAGACTTGTAGGCCATTATACAGATTTTGGGCCAAAAAAAAAAAAATTACATATGTAAAGTCACAAAGTTTGATAGTAATGTTTGGCCCTTGGGAGCCCACTAAGGGTTCCGTTTTGATAATCCGAACTGTTCAATATGTAAAACTCATAAAGTAATATATGTTTGTAAAAAATCATGTTGATTGGATATCGTTAACTATATGATCAAATCAGTTTTGTATAAAAAAAAAATAGATGGTGTGATAGTTAACTGTTGAAAAAAATTAATCCGATCATGTACCTATCGATATCCGATCAACGTAATTTTTTACAAACATGTAGTACTCGACGAGTTGTACATATTGAACGGTTCAGATTATTAAAATGGGATCCATGGTAGCCCTCACGAACCAACCATTACTGTCCAAACGCTTTGTCCCGAAAGAGGTAATTATTTTCTGTGTAAGACGTGCTAGGACAGCAGGGCATTCGTACAACCACTCCACTTTCTTCCATTATACACTTTATTTATACAATAATTTATTACACATTTTTCGTAAAAAGATAAAAAATTAATCCAAATATCTCTTTTTTTTCTGAACTTTTTAGTTTAAAAAGACAAAGGAATTTGTTTGTTTGGTAATTTTTTTTACTTATTTTTATTTTTAATAATTTTTTTTAAAAAAAAATTATGTGGGTGTTTGGAAAGTGATTATTTTTTAAGTTTTTTGACTTTTTAAATTTTTGTGTTTAGAAAGATAGAATGAATTTTTATTTTAATTGTTGTATTGAAAAATGAGTTTAAAATAATGGTGAAATATAAATTTACCAAACTACCCTTTCCGTAATTCATAAAAAATGTGACAGATTTCCACGTGGCTTCACTGTAGGGACCACCGTCTGTCATGTCTCAAAAGCAACAGATTGAAACTGGACATTTTTATAATAAATTTTGTATATTAATTAAGAGCAATGCTATAGACTAATTGTATTATAATTGTATATTTATAAAATTAGACTAATTGTATAATATATTATAATATATAATTATTATACAACATAATTATACAATTAGTCTCATTTTAATTATACAAATGACATAACTTTTTCTTCCCTTTAATTACTCTCAATAATTTGCTCTAAAATTGCTATATAATTTTTGGCTTTAACGTCCTCACAAAGCATTTATTTATAGACTCTAATCGGTAAAAGTCTTCTCATTTACTCTGTAACGTTAAATTCTTACCAATTATAATTTATAAAAAAGTATTTTTGTGAGAGATTTTAGTAGGGTTGATCATTTTCCTTTAGAAACGATTGTGGTGAGTTAGTAAGAAGTTATTGGATCCTTTTTTTTTTTTTGTTACAGGAAAATCCTTCCACTCTCCCGTAAGTCCAAGGCAGCGCCCCTTTGAGGAGATCACCAAAGTGTCCTGTTGTCCGTTTCGAGTAAGAGACTATAATTTGGAAGCTTGTCCCGACCTCCCAAGATAAGCTCCGCTTAAGTCAGGACTCACACAGCGGGAGAGAATTAAACTCACACCAAGTAACTGATAAGACATCCTTAAAGTCAACCTCCTAATCAGTATGTGGATATGAGAAACGAAAGATAAGAAAGTCTTTTTAGCTAGTTAGTGACATACAACTGGCCACACGGTCTCTCCCTCAGCTACAGTTAAGGCTGTTGGCTTTTTTTTTTCAAATCTGAGGCTAAAATAGCCTGCCAACCATGATGCCAAACACCACCATATGTTTCTAGATTCAATTCAATGGAATGAACCGAAATTTTTTTAAAAATTCTGAAAAGTTCCAGAAAACACAAAAATAAGCAAGAAGATATTGGACTTTTTTTTAATTATTTTGGGTTTTAAAATTTTTTTTAAAAAATTACTTTTTAAATTCATCTCAATAAGATGGACCAAAAAAGTAAAAAATTTTAATATAATTTTAAAAATAATTCACTAAATTTTTTTAAAAAATAGAAAAAAAAAAATTGACTTCTTTAGGTGTTTCCAAGCACCTCAATCTCCACCACACAAACACTATATCTATCTAAATTTTGGAAGATTGAAAAACATAAATTTGCATCTATTCGTTTAGTTAGAAGATGTAGATTGAACCAGTCACGCGGGCTGACGAGTAAATGCAGACGATTTGATAGTTTAGACTTTACTATTCTATGCTTTCTTTAAAAATTATTTTAAAGTAAATTTTTACTATTTTAGACCTTAATTGAGTCTAAAATTTTTTATTCTTCATATTTTATAATTAAAATAAAGATTAAACTTTCACATTTTATAAATAACTAAAGGTCCGTTTGGCAATGCAAATTGGGGCTATTTTAATCACTATGGGACAAAAGAGGCTAAAGAAGCTAAAGGGAGACAAAAGCCATTGCAATTGATCGGCAACAACCCACTTCAAGGTAAATTTACCAAACTACCCCCACATGAAAAACCACAAATAAAAACAAAGTAATGTATACAAATAAAAATAAAAATGACAAAAACGTAAATTAAAAAAAAAAGAACCACAAAAATACGCCTCATCCACAAAAAAATAAATAAATAAAAATCAGAAATTAGCATTTGCCATGTAATTTTAAAAAAATAAAAAACATGAAAACCCATTTTTGAAAAATAAAAACAAATTAATGAATACAAATAAAAAAAATGACAAAAATGTAAATGAAAAAAAAAGAACCACAAAAATACGCCTCCTCCAAAAATTAGCATTTTCCATGTCATTTAAAAAAAAATAAAAAAACCCTTTTCCAAAAACAAAAAACAAATTAAAACAAAAAAACAAAAAAAAAAACGAAATTATCATTTTTCAGGTCATTTGAAAAAAAAAAAAAACATAATAAAGCATTTTACAACAAAAAAAACAAATAAAAAACAACAACAACAACAACAACAAAAACACATTAAAATAAAACTGAAATAAACATTGTCAACGTCATTTAAAATTAAAAAACAAGAAAAAACCTTTTCAAAAAAAATTAAACAAAATAAAAAGTCAATAAAATGAAACCGAAATTAGCAGTTTCCACGTCATTTCAAAAAAAAATGGAAAAGCCTTTTCGAAAATAAAAAAAAAACAAATTAATATATATATAAAAAAAAAAAAGAAGACAACAACATAACACCCAAATTTACATTTTCAACGTCATGTTAAAAAAAACAAAACATAAAAAAGCTTTTTCCAAACCGAAAAAAAAAAGTAAATTGAAAACAATAAAAAAAATGAAAAAAAAAGTAAATGAAAAAAAAAATCACAAAAATACGCCTCATCCAACCAAAAATAAATAAATAAATAAATTTAAAAACAGAAATTAGCAGTTGCCACATAATTTTAAAATAAATAAAACACATAAAAAACCATTTTTGAAAAATAAAAACAAATTAATGTATACAAATAAAAATAAAAATGAGAAAAACGTATATTAACCAAAAAAAGAACATCAAAAATACGCCTCATCCAACCAAAAAAAAAAATAAATAAATTTAAAAACAGAGATTAGCAATTGCCACGTAATTTTAAAATAAGTAAAACACATGAAAAACTATTTTTGAAAAATAAAAACAAATTAATGTATATAAATAAAAATAAAAATGAGAAAAACGTAAATTAAAAAAAAAAGAACATCAAAAATTCGCCTCATCCAAAAAAAAAAAAATTAAAAACAGAAATTAGCATTTACCACGTAATTTAAAAATAAATAAAACACATGAAAAACTATTTTTGAAAAATAAAAACAAATTAATGAATACAAATAAAAATAAAAATGAGAAAAACGTAAATTAAAAAAAAAGAACATCAAAAATACGCCTCATCCAAAAAAAAAATTAAAAACAAAAATTACCGTTTGCCACGTAATTTACAAATAAATAAAACACATGAAAATTCATTATTAAAAAATAAAAACAAATTATTGTATACCAATAAAAATAAATAAGACAAAAACGTAAATTAAAGAAAAAGAGCAAATTAATGTATACAAAAAGAAAAATGACAAAAACATAAATTTAAAAAAAAAAACCATAAAAATACGCCTAATCCCACACACACACACACAAAAAAAAAATAAAAAAATAAAAAAAAATCCGCACCAAAGACGCTGACGTGGAGGATGTATGGCAAGGAGTAAAAATATAAAAAATGACTTCAAGGGCAGTTTGGTCATTCACCATGAAGACACATCACCAAAAAGTTAAAAAGTCAAAAAAGTCAAAAAATCATTCCCAAATTAGGCTTTTTAGCCTCAAACTAAAATAGTCAAAAAAATCAAAAAGCCAACCAACTACCCAAATAGAGGCTAATATTATTACTAAATAAAATGTCTTTTTTTAACCTACAAAATATAAAAACATAATAAATATCTTTCTTAAAAATGATTGGCAATCTGGTCGATCGCTTTTAACGGATCGAGCCAATGAGCATCATAGTCTGAGGAGTGTTTTGAAAAGTTGGTAAAAAATTATTTTTTTGATTTTTTAACTTTTTTGGTGATTTTTTTGACAAAAAGCTGAGTTCTTTTGAATAAAAAAGCTGACTTTTTTGACTAAAAAAACTAAAATGTCAAAAAATTAGCTTTTTATCCTTGTTGCCAAAATGCTTCTGAGTTCTCGTTTTGTTTTTATTTTAGGACTAAGAAAGTATAAAAAGATAAAATAGACTATATAAATCAATAAGATAAAATGTCACAATCAAATTATAATCATAATACTTTTTTTCTCATAAAAATTAAAAAAATCCAAAAATAAAAACTAAAGTAGACTAAACACAAAAAGTTAATTACCGTAAACAATGCCAAAACGAAGCTTGAATTGTAACATTATGGAATAATGTTAGCGACTCTATCATGATGCACTGCTTATAAATCTCATGCACAACCTACACTGAATAATCAAGTTTCAGCCCCCCTCTCTCTCTCTCTCTCTCTCTCTCCATGGATTCCAAAGTAGAAATGTTCTTCATACCAAATGTAATCGGGAGAGGCCACATTCTTTCAGCTATAGACACAGCAAGGCTATTTGCAGCTCAGGGAGCCAAAATCACCATAATAGTAACACCAGCATATGCCCAGCTCTTCCAGAAAACCATAGAGAGAGACCAGTCACGAGGCCATGACATCAACTTCCACATCTTCAAATTACCCACCTCCGACTTCGGCTTGCCCGATGGATGTGAGACTCTCCTCGCCGCCTCTGCCGGCATTATGGCTAAGCTTTTCATGGCCTTCGAGAAGCTCCATGAACCCATCGAACAACTTGTCCGAGAACGCCGCCCTGATTGCATCGTCAGCGACATGTTCCATCCTTGGACTGCCGACCTTGGTGCTCGCCTCGGCATTTCCAGGTTCTTATTCTATGTTACAGGTTTGTTCCTTTCTTTCTCTTTGATTTTAAATTTAAATTGACACAACCTAAACTATCACATCATTCTGAATACAAATTTTGTATAAATTTTTGTGTGTATATATTATAACTATTATTAAATTCTGATTCATTTTGCAGGTTTGTTTTCTCTGTGTTGTGAAGAGAGCATTCGACGGTATGCACCACATGACAAGGTAAATTCTGATACAGAGACATTTGCTTTGCCGGGTCTCCCCGATGATAACATCATATTTACCAAGAAATAAGTTATGGACATAAGCTGCACTAAATAGTTTGGCACATTTCTAAATCAAAATAAGTTATAATCATTCCCAAAAGCTGTAATAAACAGTCCCGTTAAGATTCGATACTATTATTTAAAATTGTAAAAATAATTTATAAATGCAAAATTTTTGGATAAATTATAAATACATTCAAGAGATTTGCTTAAAATGCAGATTGCTTCTTATAGTTTGAACCCTATTAGAATTTTTTATTTAACAAAATTAATCAAAAAATAAAATTCATAATTGTTCTACTATATAATAATAAAATTACCTAAATTATTAATTAAAACATACTTTTAATATCATTAAAAATTATTAATTGACTTGGTGATTTATTAATAAAATGGGCAATTTATTATGAAATTAAAAATCTTAGGGGTGGAATGTAATTTTTAAAATTACAAGAAACGATTCGTATTTTAATCAAATTTCAAAAAATGTATTTGTAATTTATCTAAAATTTTATATAGAATTTAATACGACAACATTCTTTAAAAAAAAAAAGTCAATCTTATAAATATAATCTTTTGATTTTAAATTGACACAACTTAAGCTATCACATTATTCTGAATATAATGTTACAGGTTTGTTCCCTCTCTGTTGTGAAGAGAGCCTTCGACGGTACGCACCACATGACAAGGTAAATTCTGATGCAGAGACATTTGCTTTGCCGGGTCTTCCTGATGACAACATTATATTTACCAAGAGTAAAATCCCATATTGGTTTAAGGACAAAGGAACTGGTTATGGACAATTAGTTGACGAGGTTATAAAGTCTGAGTTGAAAAGCTATGGGGTTATAGTTAACAGTTTTTACGAGTTGGAACCAGCTTATGCTGAGTATTTCAAGAATGAAATGGGTAGAAAGCTATGGCTCGTAGGACCGGTGTATCTGTTCAACAAAGCAGATGAAGAAAAGGCCGAGAGGGGCGAAAAGAACTCCATTGATGAAGCTGCGATTTTGAAATGGCTTGACTCCAAACAACCCAAGTCAGTACTTTATGTTAGTTTCGGGAGTCAATCTAGTATGGCTCCAGAGCAGTTCCTCGAGCTTGCTTATGCGCTCGAGGCTTCTGGGTGCCCATTCATTTGGGTGGCCAGAGATATGTTAGAGTACGGCCAAGAAGAGAAAGAAAAGAAAGAAGGAAATGAAAATCGCGGCAAAAAGCTTCCAGAGGGATTTGAAGAGAGGATGACCAAGTCCGGACAAGGGTTGATATTAAAGAAGTGGGCACCACAGTTGTTAATTTTAGAACATGCCAATATTGGAGGGTTCTTGACACACAGTGGATGGAACTCGACGATTGAGGGAATAGGAGCGGGTGTTCCGATGATCACATGGCCGTTCATAGCGGAACAATTCTTCACTGAAAGCCTTGTCGTGGATGTGTTGAAGGTTGGGATTCGTGCGGGGAATGAGGAATGGTCATCTTATATTTGGGAACCCAAGTTGACTGTGACCAGAGAGAAGGTGGAGGTGGCGGTGAAGTGGCTGATGGGTGGTGGTGCTGCTGATGAAGTGGAGGCGATGAGAAGGCGAGTAAAGCAGTTGAGTGAGAAGGCTAAGAAAGCTATAGACCATGGTGGCTCGTCTAATGCTGATGCCATTGCTTTGATCAATGAGCTTAAATCTCGTCGGACTAATTTTGCGAATAATTTATGACCCTGGAATCCTTCAAAGCCACTTGCCAATTAAACCTTTCTAAAATTTTATCTAGAAAAATGGTTTGTTATTGTAGATGCTTGCCATTTTATCTAAAATTTTAGTAGTGTTATGGTAGGTGCTTGAATAATGGTTTGTTTCTAAGTAAACTATTTGGATTTGTCTAATAATAATATCTATCGAGGTTGCTTGGATTTCTTTGTAATAATGATTTGTCTGAATAACCTCAGGATTATATTCCTGATCAAAAATAAAAATAAAAATAAAAATGCGAATTGCTTGGAATATTTATCTGAAAAATTATTCAAAAGGTAAAGTATACATTCGAAATCTGAAGATTTTGTATGCATGTTGATAGATATACTTTTCAGCATGGCGTATTATTGAAATCTGTAACCAGTAGCTTTACTGGAATTTTTTTTTGTGTGACACTTAAAAATCTTTGAATACATCCACGCTACAAGCCGCCAAGAAGGTTAATCACATAGAAATCAAACACAGAAATGTATATAGAATTTACATGGCCAATAATTTTTTAAAATCAGGCTCCACTAACAAAACTATGCTAAATTTTGTTCAACTATATGAATTTTGTGTTTAGTTTTTTATTTATGTGTTCGTAGGGCATCTTTGTAGACATGAATCCAGATCATCTGCCCCTGGTGTGCAACATCTCTCTGCCTTCAATATTAAAGCGACAAAGGAGTTGAAGTTATATGATGTTTATCTGAGCTCTCATCAGTGGAATGTGGGTCTCATAATAGAGGATTAAGATTGTGTTCGGATCATAAATTTAGATACAGATTTAGAAAAGTAACTGAAATATGAATGAAATATAATTACATTTCGCATGGCTTTTCGTTTTCTTCTTTAGGGCAAATTACACCGATGGTCCTTATATTTTATTCTTTGTGTCGTTTTGGTCCCTACACTTTTAATTAGCTCAATTTTAACTCTTAATTTTAGATTTTATGTCAATTTGGTCTAATTGATAATATTATTAGTATTTTTTAAAAAAAAAATTATTATTAAATTAATTGAGGTTAACTCATTGAGTTAAATAAATTTATATTTTTGCTCTTAAAATTATAACACATGACATTTATTTGCATATTTGTCATAAAAAAATGCTAAGAGTTGTAATCAATTTAATCAAATTGAAACAAAATCATAAATTTTAAGTTAAAATCGAACTAATTAAAATTATAAAAACTAAAACGACACAAGAATCAAAATATAAAGACTATCCTCTTCTTTTTAAAACCATGTCCAAATCCATACTTCAATAAGAGCAAATATATGTGCACTGAGAGGGAGATTTATGAGCTGGAATGGACCATGGTAAAGGCCGGGCAAAATGAGGGGTCGAACATGTTTGGGCCGTGATAGCTTGGGCTCGGTCAAATAAGGTTTTGCTCAGTTGAGACCCAGGACCATGGTGGGACCGAGCTACTTGGGCTTGTCTATGTAGAAAACCGAGCTACTCAAGTTGCTCGGCCGAGATGATTGCCTGTCATTCTGGATTCCACGGTTCACGCGTTTAGCGTGGCAGGAGGGCCTTCGGTGTACTGGCTCGATCTATCTTGAACTCGGCTTTGCCGGAATGCGACCGAGCTCGGTCGTTCTGGAGCTCGGCGAGTGGAACACTCGAGTATGCTGCATAGCGCGGTCGTGAAAGGCCGAGGTGGTTTCGCTGGTCTGCCGGGCTCCGCTAATATAGCCTAACGGTCTGGTTAGGTGGTGATTGCAGGATTTGTGTTGACAGATGGGAGAGCAACCCCACGTGTCAAAAGACTAGTGGGAGCAGTTTTGGGCGCAGAAAGTATATAAGCGTGTCTGCGCCCCCCATGCTGAGCATGGAACATTATTTTTGGTGAGAACAACCTAAACATTCAACTCTCTCCTCTCTCTATATCCCTAAGTGTGTGCTAACTTGACCGTCGAAGGGGTTTTCCGGCCACACACCTCCGGGTAGCTCACCGTCGTTGTGTTCGCAGGTCAATCGGACAGACAAGGAGCTTGGTGGAAAGGAGTACAGGCTCTGTAGAAATGCGGATTGACACGGAAATCCCGAGCAAGTGCTTCTTGCTCGGCTTAAGCCTTACCACCCAAGAGAGAACTAATATGGTAGAATTCTTGATGGGTTGAAGAAAAGACTTAAAAAAGCCAAAGGAAAATGGGCCGAGGAACTCCCAAGTGTTCTTTGGGCATACCGGACGACCCCACGGCGATCTACCAGGGAAACTCCTTTTGCCCTGGCATACGGCATGGAGGCGGTCATCCCGTTAGAGATCGGCATGCCCACCATCCGCAGTGAAAATTTTGAGCCGGAGCTGAACTCTAAAGCCATCGCCCTGGAATTAGACCTAGTGGAAGAACGCCGAGAAAAGGCTCTCCTCCATGTAGCCGCGTACCAACAAGAGCTTTCAAGAAAATACAACAAAACGGTGCACCCCAGATCGTTCAAAGTTGGGGATTGGGTTTTAAGGAAGGTCATGGCCAACATCCTGGTGCCAGGTGAAGGCAAACTAGGGGCAACCTGGAAAGGACCTTACAAGATAGCCGGTCTGGCGGGCAAGGGGACATACCACTTGGAAGATTTTGAGGGAAGAGGAATACCCCGGCCATGGAACGCGGCCAACCTTAAACTGTACTATTTTTAGTTTTCATAGTTTGTGTTCTGTTTGTTTGCCTCACACTTTAGAATGTAATATTCTTTTTGTCAATATAATAGAAGTGTTTGGTCTTTGCCATGGCATTCCGATTGTCTCCATTGCTTATTTTGAGATTTAAATCGAGATGACTTATTCCGGTTAAACAAGTTGATGATTTACTCAACTCTGAGATTTCAACCGAGATGTTTTACTCCGGATTGAATGAGTTGATGATTTACTCAACTTTGAGATTTAAACCGAGATGAGTTATTCCGGTTAAACAAGTTGATGATTTACTCAACTTTGAGATTTCAACCGAGATGTTTTACTCCGGATTGAATAAGTTGATAATTTACTCAACTCTGAGATTTCAACCGAGATGTTTTACTCCGGATTGAATGAGTTGATGATTTACTCAACTTTGAGATTTAAACTGAGATGACTTATTCCGATTAAACAAGTTGATGATTTACTCAACTTTGAGATTTGAACTGAGGTGATTTATTCCGGTTAAACAAGTTGATGATTTACTCAACTTTGAGATTTGAACCGAGATGACTTATTCCGGTTAAACAAGTTGATGATTTACTCACTTTTGAGATTTCAACCAAGATGTTTTACTCCGGTTGAATGAGTTGATGATTTACTCAACTCTTTGAGATTTCAACCGAGATGTTTTACTCCGGATTGAATAAGTTGATAATTTACTCAACTTTGAGATTTCAACCGAGATGTTTTACTCCTGATTGAATGAGTTGATGATTTACTCAACTTTGAGATTTAAACCAAGATTACTTATTCCGGTTAAATTAGTTGATGAGTTACTCAACTCTTTGGTTTCAGCCGAGATGGTTTATCTCGGCTAGATGAGTTGGTGATTTGCTTAGCCGAGGAAGTTTATCCCGGCTGAAGTTGTTTAGCTTAAACACAATGCAAACACTAAGCGAAATCAAAACATTTCATTGATGTGAAATAGAATTACATACGGTGGGACTGGCAGTCCGGTTACATTGTTAAAAACAAAAAAAGACGAAAAACTACACTAAGGGAGAAAGGTCTGCGAACTCATCCCCGGTGGTCGTTGCCTCCAAGTTGACCGTAGTAGTGGTTTCTTGGACGCCGGCCTAGCCCTTCCAGTCTGCTTTGGGCAGTTATCTCCCTCGGCAGTTTCCTCGACCTCCTCCAAGCCTTCTTCCTCCTCGGCCTCAGTCTGCAATGCGCTAAAGACATCATTGGCGTCTGGCACCATGTATGCCGGCAGAAAGGCGATGGGGGGAGAGGCAAACACATCGGTCCCAGGTCCTTGGCCAAGCTGTTCGCAAGTAGCTTTCCACCCGGACTTGAAGAAAATGCCCTTGGTGGCCTCCACTTGCTTGGTATAGTTTTCTCGGCCTCATTGAAACCTTCGTTATTTGCCTTGTCCAGTTCGTCCTTCCTCGATTGCTTTAACGCTTACAGCTCAGCCCAGAGAGCGTCCCTTTCTTTCTTGGCGGCACCAAGCTGGCCGAGCAATCTGGAGTTGTCGGAGTTTGCAATCTCCAAAGAAGCTTTGGATTGCCCCAACTCGATTTGAAGGTGCTTAACATGGCTGGCGGCGTCGATTGCCTTTTGCTGAAGTCTGTGAATCCGCTTCATTACAAGGTGTTATTTTTGAATGGCCTGCAAGAAGAGAGTTTGATTAGAGAGGGAACCGAGCAAACACTTGGAAAAATTTGAATAAAGCATGCAAAACTCTTACCCAGGTCATGGACTTGACCGAGGACTTCACCAGCCGGTTGTCGGGCACGTGATCGTTGCCGACCACGTCGCTCGATAGTAGGAGGGCTTTTGTCAGGTCGAAGGTTAGGAGGTGTTCCTTGTCGCCTGTGGCCGAGGCGGTTGTCGGGATCTCCTTTTCTCGGTGCTTCAACTGTGGCTTCTAGGGCAGTGGTAGCTCGGTTGTGACCGCGAGTTGCTTGGTGTTCAGCTCCGCAACGAGCTCGGCTGAGGGATCGGCGGTTCGAGGCCTTTTTCCAGCTCGACGGGTGTCCTTACTAGCCTGTGTTAGGGGGGTTGATGCCAAGGCAATGACGGCGTCAGATGTTTGCCCGGCTTTTGAAGTGCGAGGTGGGATGCTCGGTAGCTCGGTGGATATGGCGGTGATGAGATTTTTGATACGGCTTCGTTTGGCCATCTCCTCTGCCTCGGTCAGCCGGATAAGGGGCACGTTAGGTAATGTGGGATCAAGAGGTGGTGATGGCACTCAAAGGAAGTCTGTCACTCTACTCTGGTGTGGAGCGGAGTATCGGTAGGTCGGTACGTAGCCGAGAAGTTCATGACAATCTCGGTTTCGATACCGTAGCACGGTTCTGATGGCTACTTCGTTGGGATAATGGTAGTTGGCTTACAAAGCCTCAATTGCTGCAAAAGAATAAAAGATATTAAGTACGGAATCTAGAAAAGAAGAAATTTGACCGAGCAGTTAGCACGACTTACATGTTTCGCCGAAGTTTTTGCTTATATACCAGCCCGGCACGTCGGCCGTTTCATAATTACCGGACACCCAGAAAAATTCGTCATCTTGCATGTCTTTGTCCGGGGTGCCCGTCACTATCTTCTCCTTGCCCAGTCTGATCTTTAAATAATAGGCAAGGTTGTCGCCTGTATGCCCGAGGGTATATTGGCGGAGTATCTCGGCCAATCCTAGGTTGGTTCCTAGCCGATTGTTTAGTTCATGGATCCCGTTAATTATCCTGTACGTGTTGGTTGAGACTTGGGTTGGGGCTAGCCCGGTGCGTCGCAAGAACTCACACATAAGAGGGTTAACCGGGAAGCGGAGGCCACCTTCTATTATGGAGAACACGGTGAAAGGGCACTGGTCAAGTCTTTCCCAGGGGGTTGTTTCCTCAGCACCGAGCTCGAGATGTACGTTGGCTGGGATACTATACTCTTCCCGAAACGCGGCTAGGGCGACCGGCGTATCGACCAGGAAGCGGTAGCGCCCCATATGTAGCCGGCTTGACTTAGCGCGGCTGAGATGGTTTGGCACAGACTCTTGTTTGATGGCTGCTCGGTCTTTGAGAGCCTTGGTATTGGTGTATGGTCCCCTTGGACTCTGTAGGAAAATGAGGTAAGTGTA